TTAGTATATTCTAAAAAAGATCAGCAATTTCTCTCCCATTCTGAAGTGAAGAAACCTTCACTCGACATTTTCTTTACACGTGTATTTAATTTCATGAAGGTGACTTGTGAACTGTTAGCATTATTTTCTGATAAACTGGAGTACTAGCCAGAAAGTTCCTACCTCTTGTCTGTATCTTGAAGTATTTCCCCTACTTTTTCTTCTAACAGTTTCACAGAGTTTCGCGTCTTCAAATTAGGTCTTTGTTTTATTTACAAATAGGAATCTCAAATCATTCTGCTACAGTTGGGTACAAGATCCATTTGTTAAAAGGCTGTCTTTTCCAATATGTTGTTGGCATCTTTGGCAAAAACAAGATGGTTGTAGCTGTGCGGGTTTATATCTGGTTGCTTTAGCCTGTTCCTGAGGTGATCTGAATAAGAATACCCTTCACAGGCTCATATATTTGAATGCTTCATCATTAGGCAGTGGAACTACTTGAAGGATTAGGAGAATTGCTTTGTTTTCGGCCCACTACACCCCTCCATACAGAAGGAATTTACTCACTATGAGACTACGTTTCAAAATCTCCCCCACTGCTTCCAAAGCTCAAAGACAAGCAGAATAGCAAAATTCCTTTTTAAAGGCACTAAAGCCCCCTCACCCTAATCTTCCATAAATGCTATTCACTGGATCATCTATCTGAGACACCCAGCTGACCTTCAAATCCACCATCAATTTCCCCTTATTTGAGCCTGGTGATACTGTCCGGGTCAAGCAGGTAGCCAAGGGACACCGAAAGACACTTGGAAAGGACCTATATAGTGATACTCTCCACTCCTAGATGTGTAGCATTGCACCATGGATACACATCCAGGTCAAGGAAGTGGAAGCCACAGCTATTGTCACCAAATGGACTGTATCCTGGACTATGAGTCCATTAAAATTAAGGTTTCATCGGGGCCCTGGTCCCTTACACTTCATGCCCCTCTAGTTCCTAAGTCTTGTGTTTTTCACTATGGGTATCATTGCAGGGTCACAGTCTAACCCTCATCATCCTCAGCTGTGAATCTGAGAACGAAGGAAGGCAGGTACAGGGAAAATGTCTTAGAGTTCTGTTGCTGTTAAGAGATGCCATTACTACAGCAACCTCCCCCCCCCCCAAAAAAAAAAACATTTACTTGGGGCCTTGCTTACTGTTTCAGAGATGCAGTCCATTTTCATCAAGCAGGGAGCATAGTGACATGCAGACAGGCATGGTGCTAGAGTGTATCAGAGTTTCACATCCAGATCTACAGGCAGTAGGCAGAGAGAGACAGTGGGTCTGTCTTGGGCTTCTGAAAAAAATCCAAAGCCCAAGCCCAGTGGCATGCTTCCAACAAGGCCACACCTAATCCAACAAGACTGCACCTCCTAATCCCTGTCAAACAGCACCACTCCCTCATGACCAAGCATTCAAATCTATGAGTCTATGGGGGCAATTCTTATTCAAACCACCACAGGAGATGATTGTTAATAAGGCTATCAACCAGCAACCGATATTGTATCTTGACCTTTGCTCACTGATGACCACTTTTCTATACTTGTCAGATGGTTAAGATGAACAAAACAAATGACAGCTCATGCTGCCAAGGATGTGGAATAAGCAGAACATTGCTGGTGGGAGTGCAAACATGTATAGCCACTATGGAAATCAGCAGCAGCACCTTAAGATCTACCTATTCCAATCTTGAGAACAGACTCAAAGGATGTTTCTTCCTACCGTTGAAATACTTGCCCAACCATGATCAGTGCTGTTTGTCTTAGTTAGGGTTTTCTATTGCTCTGAAGAAATACCATGACCATAGCAAGTCTTATAAAGAAAATATTTAACGAGGGTGGATTGCTTCCAGTTTCATAGAATCAGTCCATTATCGTCATGATGGCAGGCATAGTGGTGTGTAGGCAGACATGGTGCTGGAGCTGAGAGTGCTAATCTTTCTGCTTGTTGAAGAAACACATCTAAAATGGAAGGGGGTAAGTTGTCCTGAACTATTCAGTTCATTAATTCACTGCCCCAAGGCAGTGCATGCTATTCCACTGGCTCACTGGCTCCCCCAGACCACCCACCCATGCTGTGGTGACTCCCATGCAGAGGCCATGACCCGAGAAAACCTCAAAGAAAAGAAGGAAAGGAGACAGAGATAATCAGTATTAGGCTCCAATTACTTAGTCTCCATGCCTGACTACCTTACTGTCAGCATTTGTATGGACGTTGCCTCGTATTCTGAGCAAGCTAATGATCAGATCCTACATCCTCGACTACAAGGCCAACTAAACTACTGGTCCTTAGGACAAACTATGATCCCCTAGAACAGCATGAGTCAATGATTTGTCTCATGTCCATAGAACCAGTAGGAAATGTGACAGATCAAGACAGTTCCTCCATCTTCTGCTCTTGCTGAGGTCATTTTAGGCTCACCTAGAATTTGATCTCCTTCATGGAGAATCCATGGAAAATTACCCAGCTCTATTCTAGCAACCCAAGGTCAAGATGGCTCAGGTAATTTAGCTTCTGTTAATCTGCTTGCCTGTGCAAACCTTCCCCTGCTTCTGCTGAACAAGATAAGATAGAAGGATGTTGTTTTTCCCTTTAAAAGCTCCTTGCTCTAAATGCTCAGGGATATGCTTAGGTCTGGAATACCTGAGTGTAGTCCAAGCCAGCTGGAATAAAGACTTTCAATTGGCTATAAACTACATCCGTATGGTCATCGCAGGTGGGATTCCCATAACACTACCTGAGAGCTGGGATTTGAGACATACACCACACCACGTCCAGCTCAAGCACTCTATATGTTCTTTCTTTCTTTCTTTCTTTCTTTTTTTTTTTGACACAGATTTTCTCTGTGTAGCCCTGGCTGCGCTGGAACTCACACTGTAGACTAGGCTGTCCTCAAACTCAGAGATCCACCTGTCTCTTCCTTCTGAGTGCTGGGATTAATGATGTATGACAGCACCACATAGAATATATGAAATTTCTGAAGGTAATTAACAAGCTTTTCAATTCATAAAATTAACAATGGTTGCCTTCATCACATTATAAAGTAACTAAAGGTCTCTTATATAGGTATTAACCTGTCTGTTGTTTTTAAAACTGCATCACTATGTGGAAACAGGCTGGCCTCACAATATAGCTCAAGCTAGCCTTGAACTAGTGGTCTTCTTGTCTCAGCTTTCTGAATGCAGAGATTAAAGGTATGAGCCACTATACCAGGCCTTGGAATCTAATATATTACCACCCAGATAACAATAATAGCTCAATGGTTGTGACAATCAAAACTTGTTTTCAAATAGGGGCCAAAATCCAGACACACCGTTGAAACACCACTACGGTGAATGAGATGAACAGGAAACAACTGCCAGGCTCTGAGTCACTCTCTGGGAAAATATTGTTCTCCAAGCTCTTAGACCTACTGAAACCTAGGAAACAGGAAGACCACAAGGACTTGAAAGTAAAATGACACGTTCAGGGTGAGACTCTCTGATCCAGACACACCCGCCGTGTGGTGAGGCCTTCAGAAGTAACCTGAACATAGTTTCAGATGCACAGTCATAGTTTCCTGTTTGGCATATGCACATCTCTTTTGATTTTTCTCTGTTCCCAAATCCACTGTCACACAAGAATAGATATTTATTTTTGGATGATGCAAATACACAATTAGTAAAAGAATATGCAAATACCAACATTGTGGATTCCATGCAGGGGAACATTCCCACATCATCATTAAAGAAATTCTAAACTGGAAGGCTTGGAGACTCCAAACAGAAAACTATGCATCAACAGAAACATTCTCACAGTCTCAGTACACCTAGATTCAGGAGCATATTTTCCTCTGTCGGCTTTAGATTAAAAAAAGTTTACTGAAATGGAATTTTCCAAGAAACTAGAAGACATTTATATATATAGGTTCATTTGTCAAAGACCTATTCAAACTCCGTTTTTGGAGATTCATTTTATGCAAAAATAGACATGAAACAATTCTCATAACTTAAAACATATAACCATACAACATATGGTCTGACTCGGCTTCTTTCTCCCAGCATTCTGTTTGGTCTACTCTGCCTACCTAATTTTCTGTCCTATTAAAGGCCAAGGCGGTTTTTTTATTAACCAATAGACATATGACCCTCCTCCATCACCACCCTGGGCTATATAGGAAGATCCTCTCTAAAAAAGCAACAACAAAACAATCAGTTCCCAGAATTTCAACCCGGCTCACAGTGATGTGAGATTCCCCTTATAAACTGTGAATACCACTGGCTAATAGAGAAACTGCTTTGAACCTGTTGCAGGGCAGATCACAGGTAGGCAGGAAAAACTAGGCTGAATGCTGGGAGAAAGAAGGTGGAGTCAGTGAGAAGCCACATGGCCCCACTGGAGACAGACACCAGAACTTCACCACAGCCTCGTGGCGATACACAGATTAATGGAAATGGGTTAAATTAAGATATAAAAGTTAGCTAATAAGAAGCTAGAGCTAATGGGTAAAGCAGTAATTTAACTAATAAAGTTTCTGTGTGGTTATTTCATGGCTGGGCTTCTGGGCAGCCAGGAAACAAACAAGCGGCCTCCAACTACATCACAGGGTATACTAACAGTAGAGATAGTGTAAATAAAATGTTAGTATTTCCCTTCAGAGATGATAGCATATTATAAACCCAAATTTTTAAAGAAAATTAAGTTCAGCATTCTTTTGAATGTAAACTAAATGTTTTGCTTATATAACTGTATGAAAACAAAAGGATATTACTGAGTAAAAACTGTCAACTGACCACTCTCTATTAGATCAATAGGTTAAACTTATGAAGAGACACAATTCTTAAGAGAAAATTACTGTCCTTTCCCCACCCTTTCTACGTGTAGAGAAATGCAAATTCTTCCTAATTTACTATATGTTCTATAACAAATCCACAAAAAAATTCAATGTAGCAAGAAAACCAAGAGAAGGAAAAGTAGTGTATTTAAACCTATACTTTCTTACCCATATGTTGCTGAAGAGCCCAAGAAGAGTTTGCACGAGCAGAGATCATCTTTTCAACAGGTGGTGGAAGTCTCTTCCAATTAGAAAATTCCAAAGTAAAAATAAGGACATCATCGCTGACTGAGTTAACCCTGTACGAACAGCATGTTAACAGGCCATCAACAGCAAAATATTAACATATTTAGGGCTAGTACTAAAAGCAAATATCACATTCCTTTTATACAAGAACTTGATGAGGGGACTCCTAGGAGAGAGGGCTGGAGAAAACAAGCTCCAATAGGAGCAGAAGGAAAGAGCAAATCCAGTCCTGGGACACTGCCAGACCAGAGTTGAGCCAATGAACTGATTCAGAGTCTGCGATCTCCACCAGAACTGGAGTGGGACTGAACCAGTTACCTAAGACAGAAAAAACAAGCTACACCAAGAAGCAGAAGCCAGGAGCAGACACAGTCCCAGGACATGGGGGGATCAGGACATAGCCAGCGACCAGATGCAGACTCAACAATCTCCACCACAACAGGCCCAACTCCACGCCAGGGACTTCGGCAGGAGGATATTCAGACCAAGATGTACAGAAACAGATCAAAGCCTGCAGCCTAAGCCAAAGTAGGCCTGAAACAGCAAACTCCAAGGGAGCAGAGCCAAGCACAGGAGCACTGAGCTACCTCCAGGAACAGGAGTAACCAACAGGGAAACTAGAACTGTGACACTGACTGTACCACGAGGAACAACCATCTGAACTTGGGATTCACTGGCACCTAGAAGATTATTCAACAGAATCTCAAACAGCCCAACCACACCTATTAGAGGAAAAGATGAGTAGAAAAGAAGATCACATGCTACACCACAAAGAGCAACGCAATACCAGTAAATGGACTTAACAGACATCTATAGAATATTCCATCCAAACAGAAAAGAATATACCTTCTTCTCAGCACCTCATGGAACCTTCTCAAAAATTGACCACATACTTGGTAACAAAACAAACCACCAAAATACAAAAAAAAAAAAAAATGGAATATCCCAACGTACCTTATCAGATCACCATGGTTTAAAACTAGAAGTCAACAGCAATACTAATTCCAGAAAACCCACAAGCACACGGAAAGTAAACAATGCTCACCTGAATCATCAATGGGTCAAGGAAGAAATAAAGGGGGAAATTAAAGACTTCCTAAAATTCAATGAAAAATGACCACATAACATACCCAAATTTATAGGACACAATGAAAGCAGTGTTAAGAAGCAAGTTCATAGCACTAAATGCCTACATAAAGAATCTGAAAAAATCCCACACTACTGAATTAACAAAACATTTGAAAACTTTAGAACAAAAAGAAGCAAACTCACTTAAAAAAACTAGATGGCAGGAAATAAAGTGAGAGTTGAAATCAACAAGAGAAACAAAGAAAACAATACAAAGAATCAATGAGACAAAGAGCTGGTTCTTCAAGAAAATCAACAAAATAGACAAACCTTTATCCAAACTAAGCAAAAAGCAGAGAGAGAATATCCAAATTAACAAAATCAGAAATGAAAAGGGGAACATAACAACAGACATGGAGGAAATACAGAGGATCATCAGGTCATATTTTGAAAACCTATATTCCACAAAATTGGAAAACTTAAAGGAAATGGACAACTTTCTGGATAAATATCATTTACCAAAATTAAATCAAGACCATATAAGCAAATTAAACAGACCTATAACTCCTGAAGAAATAGGAACAGCCATCAAAAGTCTCCCAACCAAAAAAAGACTAGGACCAGATGGTTTCAGCTCAGAATTCTACAAGACTTTCAAGGAAGAACTAAGACCAATACTCCTCAAATTATTCCACACAATAGAAACAAAGGGAACACTGCCAAACTCTTTTTATGAGGCTACAATAACCCTGATACCCAAATCACAGAAAGAGAATACTAAGAAAGAAAATTACAGACCAATCTCACTCATAAACATTGATGCAAAAATACTAAATGAGTGGGTGCACCCCTCGTGGTCCCGACTTCTTTGCTCATGTTCTCCCTCCTTCTGCTCCTCATTGGGACCTTGGGAGCTCAGTCCAGTGCTCCAGTGTGGATCTCTGTCTCTATCTCCATCCATCACCAGATGAAGGTTCTATGATGATATGCAAGATATTCGTCATTATTGCTCTAGGATAGGGTCATCTCAGGTTCCCTATCCTCAGCTGCCCCAGGAACTAACTGGGGACCTCGGCTTGGGCACCTAGGAGCCCCTCTAGGGTCAGGTCTATTGCCAACCCTAAAGTGGCTCCCTTAACTAAGAATTGTGGTTCCGTGCTCCCCTGTCCAACCTTCCTTTATCCCAATCCTCCTGTTTCCCAAAGGCCCCCCCTCCTTCCCTTCTAACTTTTCTCTCCCCATCTCCCCTTACCCACATCCCATCCCACCCCCAACCCACCCCCAAGATCCCAATTTTCTCCCCGGCAATTTTGTCTACTTCCCTTAGCCAAGAGGATAACTATATGTTTTTCCTTGGGTTCACCTTCTTACTTAGCATCCTTAGATTCACCTATTGTAGACTCTGTGACCCTTATTTATGGCTAGAAACCAATTATGAGTGAGTACATCCCATGTTCATCTTTTTGGCTCTAGGATACCTCACTCAGGATAGTGTTTTCTATTTCCATCCATTTGCATGCAAAATTCGAGAAGTCATTGTTTTTTACCGCAGCGTAGTACTCTAATGTGTATATATTCCATACTTTCTTCATCCATTCTTCCGTTGAAGGGCATCTAGGTTGTTTCCAGCTTCTGGCTATTACAAATAATACTGCTATGAACATAGTTGAACAAATGCTTTTGTCATATGATAGGGCATCTCTTGGGTATATTCCCAAGAGTGGTATTGCTGGGTCCACGGGTAGGTTGATCCCGAATTTCCTGAGAAACCGAAACACTGACTTCCACAGTGGTTGCACAAGATTGCATTCCCACCAGCAATGGATGAGGGTACCCCTTCCTCCACAGCCTCTCCAGCAAAGGCTATCCTTGGTGTTTTTGACTTTAGCCATTCTGACAGGTGTAAGATGATATCTCAAAGTTGTTTTGATTTGAATTTCCCTGATTGCTAAGGAAGTTGAGCACGACCTTAAGTGTCTTTTGGCCATTTGAACTTCTTCTGTTGAGAATTCTCTGTTCAGTTCAGTGCCCCATTTTTTAATTGGGTTAATTAGCATTTTAAAGTCTAGTTTCTATTGGACTGTGACTGAAAAAGCATGAGATAAAACTGGACTCTCTGAACATGGCGAACAATGAGGGCTGATGAGAAGCAAAGGACAATGGCACGGGGTTTTGATCCTGCTTAATGTGCTGGCTTGGTGGGAGCCTAGCCAGTTTGGATGTTCACCTTCCTAGATATGGACAGAGGGGGAAGGACCTAGGACTTACCACAGGGCAGAAAACCCTGACTGCTCTTTGGACTGGAGAGGGAGGGGGAAAGAAGTGGGGGGAGGGGGAGAAGGGTGGGAGGAGGGGGAGAAGTGCAGGAGGAGGGGGAGGGAAATGGGAGGCTGGGAGGAGGTGGAAACTTGTTTTTTTCTTTTTCTCCTTTTCTCAATAAAAAAAAAATCCCAGCACTTGGGAGGCAGAGGCAGGCGGATCTCTGTGAGTTCGAGACCAGCCTGGTCTACAAGAGCTAGTTCCAGGACAGGCTCCAAAACCACAGAGAAACCCTGTCTCGAAAAACCAAAAAAAAAATACTAAATGAAATAACGGCAAATCGAACCCAAGAACACATCAGAACCATCATCCACCATGACCAAGTTGACTTCATCCCACAGATGCAGGAATGGTTCAACATATAAAAATCTGTCAACCTAATCCACCACATAAACAAGCTGAAAAATAAAAACCACATGATCATCTCATTAGATGTCAAAAAAGCATTTGACAAAATACAACATCCCTTCATGATAAACGTCTTGGAGAGAGCAGGGATACAAGAAACATACCTAAACATAATTGAGGTAATATACAGCAAGCCAACAGCCAACATCAAACTAAATGGAGAGAAACTCCCAGCGATTCCACTGAAATCAGTAACAAGACCAGGCTGTTCACTCTCTCCTTATCTATTCAATATAGTTCTTGAGGTCCTAGCTAGAGCAATAAGGCACCAAAAGGAGATCAAGGGGATACAAATTGGAAAAGAAGAAGTCAAACGCTCACTGTTTGCTGATGATATGATAGTTTACATAAGTGATCCCAAAAATTCTACCAAGGAAATTCTAAAACTCATAAACACTTTTAGCAATGTAGCAGGATACAAGATTAACTAAAAAAAAAAAATCAGTACACCTCCTGTACACAGATGATAAAAGGGCTGGGAAGAAATCAGAGAATCAACACCCTTCACAATAGCCACAAATAGCATAAAATATCTCAGAGTAACTCTAACTAAACAAGTGGAAGACTTGTATGACAAGAACTTTCAATCTTTGAAGAAAAAAGTTGAAGAAAACACTGGAAAGTGGAAAGATCTCCCATGCTCTTGGGTAGGTAGAATTAACATGGGGAAAATGGCAATCTTACCAAAAGCAATCTACAGATTCAACGCAATGCCCAGCAAAATTCTTCAAAGATGTCAAAAGAATGGTACTCATCTTCATTTGGAAAAGCAAAAGACCCAGGATAGCCAAAACAATCCTATGTAATAAAAGAACTTCTGGAGGCATAAAAATCCCTGACTTCAAACTCTACTACTGATCTACAGTACTGAAAAAAGCCTGGTATTGGCATAAGAACAGACAAGAGGACCAATGGAACCAAAGAGAAGACCTGGATATTATTCCACACATCTTCGAACACCTGATCTTTGATAAAGAAGCAAAAAATATCAAATGGAAAAAAGAAAGCATATTTAACAAGTGGTGCTGGCATAACTGGATATCAACATGAAAATAGACCCATATCTATCACCATGCACAAAACTCAAATGCAAATGGATCAAAGACTTCAACATAATGCCAGCCACACTGAACCTATAGAAGAAAAAGTGGAAAGTACACTTGAACACATTGGCACAGGGAACCACTTCCTAAATAGAACCCCAACAGCACAGACACTGAGAAAAACAATTAATAAATGGGACATCCTGAAACTGAAA